TTAAACAAGTCCCTTTAAAAATTCATATAATAATGGTTTGATGATGATGAACTACTTTAGTTTTTTCTTGTTTGGGAAGCTCTTTAACTGCCCTTCAATTATAAATGATAGCTTTGCTGGGTAGAACAATCTTGGCTGTAGGTTCATGCTTTCCATGACTTTGAATATTTCTTGCCAGTCTCTTCTAGCCTGCAAGGTTTCCTTTGAGAAATCAGCTGACAATCTTATGGGAACACCTTTGTAGGTAATTTACTACTTTTTTCTTGCTGCTTTTAAGATCCTTTATCTTTACTCTTTGGCATTTTAATTATGATGTGTCTTGGAGTGGTCCTCTTTACATCCATCTTGTTTGGGACTCTGTGCTTCCTGGACTTGCATGTCTATTTCCTTCACCAAATTAGGGAAGTTTTCTTTCACTATTTTTTCAAATAGATTTTCAATTTCTTGTTCTTTCTCTTCTTCTTCTGGCACAGCTATGAGGGAAATGTTGGACATCTTGAAGTTGTCCCAGAGGCTGCTTATACTATTCTCATTTTTGGATTCTTTTTTCTCCTTCTTGTTTGATTGGTTGTTTTTTGGTTTCTTATGTTCCAAATCATTGATTTGACGCTCGGTTTCATCCACTCTACTGTTGTTTCCCTGTAAATTGTTCTTTATTACAATTAGTGAATCCTTCATTTCTGACTGCATCTTTTTTATGCTGCTGAGGTCCTCACTAAGTTCCTTAAGCATCCTTATAACCAGAGGTTTGAACTCTGCATCTGATAGATTGCATATCTCCATTTCGTTAAGCTCTTTTTCTGGAGTTGTGATCTGTTCTTTCATTTAGGCCATGTTTATTTGTCTCCTAATTTTGGCAGCCTCCCTGTGTTTGTATATATTTGGTAGAGCTGCTTTGACCCTGTGTCTAGGTAGTGTGGCCTAATATAGTAGGTGTCCTGTAGGGCCCAGTGGCACAGCCTCCCCTATCACCCAAGCTGGTACTCAAGGTGCGCCCTTTGTGTGGACTCAGTATACCTTCCTCTTGTAGTTGAGCCTTGGTTACTGTTGGCGGATCAATGGGAGGGATTTACCCAGGTCAGTAGCCTGCAAGGACTGGCTGTGACCACTGACCACAAACTTCTGACCTCAGTGGAGGATCAGCTGTGCAGGGGCAAGGTGGTGCTCCGATGTGGTCTGTAGCTGTCTACTGGACGTGCGGGCTGGGGGTTTCCTGGGTGGTGGAGGCCAAGGTCAGCCCCCACCTGTGTTTTGCCCGGGGCCACCTGGCATGAGCTGTAAAGCAATCTGAGATGGCTGCTACTTGTGCTGAGCTTGGAGATTCGAAGCCAAGCTGTGAATCTAGTCTGGCTGCTGCTAGTGTTGGGCCCGGGGGCTCACTGAGGCCAACTATTGCTTGTTTGAGAGGATTTAGGAAGTAGTGAAGCATGAGCCAAGACCAACCATTTATATGGAAAAGCAGCTTGGGTGGGCCCCTAAGTTGGGTGGGGCAGAGTTTCTGGGGATCTCCAAGGTCAAACAGTATTAGCCAGTCTGGTGGAGTCTCAGATATGGCACTAGCTTATGTACTTTGTGGGGCGAAGTTTTAGAAAAGGGACAGTGGCCACTGTTTGCCTAGATGCCAGCCACTTCAATTCCTCCCTGTATATCACTAGTGCCTTTCAGGCTGCTACCCGAGTGCTGGAGTTCAGAGGGAGTCAGTCTGAGCAGGTGAGTCTTTGTGTTAAGAGGAATTGCTTGGGGCTCCAGAAGTTTTTTCCACGGACTCAATTCCCACTGGTTTTTGCAGCCAGAAGTTGGGGGGACTTATCTTCCTGTCACTGAAACCTTGGGCTGGGGGGCCTGGTGTGGGGCTGGGACTCCTCACTCCTGAGATATCCCTCCTGAATTTTATTTCCCACGTGTGGGTGTGGGACCAGCTGGTTCTGCCTCTGTGCTTCTCTTGCCAGTCTGGATGTTTCTTTAATTCTGTAGTGGTCAGACTCCAATTCAACTCAATTTCTGACAGTTCTGAGTGACGGCTGTTCTATATGTTAGATGTAATTTTGATGTGGTTGTGCGAAGAGGCAAGCCATGTCTGCTTATGCTGCCGTCTTGACCAGCCTTACCACTTTTTCCATTTGCTAAATTCTATAGGAGATCTTGAAATTGGTACTGCAACTTCATGTTAATAAATAGCTATGTAAATACAGAATGAGAAAAATCCATTCTATTTGCTAACCTAAATGCAATCTGCCCAAGATGGAAAACCCGAGATAGGTTTAATATGCACACTGGAAATGGGCTCGACCCAGATGCTCTTAAACAAAACTCTTGTGCAACAAAACAAAATTCTGCTCCAAAAATCTTTAATTTGCATTTTAATAATATACAAATGGGAAGAAATAATAAACAATTATAAATTCAGTTTGGAGCCAGGAACCATTCACTATACATGGGAATGATTTTACCATTTAATTGGGATAGAAAATTCTCTATCTCTAACTGAGTATCTAGTAGCTTAATAAGAAGTTGCCCATTAATGAGAGAGAGAACCCTTCCATAGTACTGGACACCACAGAAATGATAGAAATGTATGTTCATTCACCTATACGCACACTCAAAAAGCTCAAGTCCCTTTTCAAAGTTGTGACTAATCCTGAACCAAAAGGCTGGTTGAAGGAAGAATACCCAGAGATCATGTGTTTCTATTAAAGCCTCCTCACCCCAGGCCAGTCATAGCACTAGAGCATCTCTCTCTGGCATAAAAGAAAATCTTTAAAATGATTGCTGGTGACTGGGGTTAAACATGAACATTTAAATGGTATAAGGAGAGGCCCATGCTGTGGGACTGATAATCTAGGTGTTCCGGGCTACTGCAGAGGGCTTTCAACACAGGGCGTCAGAGAAAATTGGATAGAGTCTGAACTCCTTGAGGCAGAGAGATTTATATTCATAGCCTCTGACCCTTGCGCAGAGGTGTCAGGTCAATCGGGAGTGTGTCCCCAGAGCAGCCTGCTCTTGCAGGGGGGACCTTTTTATCACTGACATTCTGTAGAATTGCTGGTTCTTGGTTAGAATAAAGAGCAGAGTCACTTTTAGTTAGTTTTATAACTGTCCTAAATTCTCAACAGAAAGCGCACCCCTCATGTCCATACCCTGGGCTGCACCACCCAATCCCCCTTGGTACACAACTGCCACATTGTGACAGTGTTTATTTCTCTGGGATCTGTGGTCACATAGAAGCCCAGTAGTGACACCTGCTGACAGATCAACTAGGAGCAGCCCTTTGGTTAGGGCAGCACAGCCCAGTCACCACGCTGCCATTGCCCCAAGATGACCCCGTGCATCTATCTCCACAGCAAGGGCAAAGACCACGGCCTCGGAACAGGAGAGGAGAGGGCCAGGTCCTGGAAACTAAGTATGGGATGAACAAGTGAAAGTATCTAGCAACCAGGACATAGCTTATCTGAATGTTTTCTGTCAGCCCTGCCTTGTTCACAAATGTCTGATATCTGGAGAAAACCTTGGCAACCATTATTCAGGCTGCATGCTGGGGATGGGCTCCACCCAGACGCTCTTCCACAAAACTCTTATGCTGTTAACTGTGACCTTGCCACCATGCTGGTTTCGACCTCTCTGATTGTGGGACCACGGTGGGAGCACAGATGACCTACAGCACAGAATTAGGGAAAAGAGGTGGCCAAACAATGAGACCAAAAATGGATCTTGCCCTGGTGGGGTGGCTCAGTTGGTTGGAGCACCGTCCCATACACCAAAAGGTTGGAGGTTCGATCCCTGGTCAAGGCACATACCTAGGTTGTGGGTTTGACCCCTTGCCAGGGCGCGTACTGGAGGCTACTGATCAGTGTTTCTCTCTCACATAGATGTTTGTCTTTCTCTCTCTCTCAAATAAAAAAATCAATAAACATATCCTTGGGTGATGATTAAAAAAAAACGGATCTCTCAGAATGAGTAAACTGACTGGTAGACAAAAGTCTGGTGGATGGATGCATGTGTTCACCTGTGTTCCGTGTATGTCCTCCTCCTTGCATAGCCCACTGCACCTGAACGGTACACACCCTTACAGTTAATCACAGAATGTCTTGGTTCATTTATTCTGGCATCAGGAAAGGGCTAGAATTGGATGTCAGTCCTAACATCGCTCTGAGGCCTGATCCTTCTGCAGGTGGGTTGGACAGAGCATTGAGAAGCATGAATTTTTCAGACAATCAAACATGTGCCCACAGCTGGGTGGGAAGCCGGGTTAGTTATTAAACAGATCATCTGTACTGAGCACAGTACTCTACTCCACAGGGTTCTATCACATGCAATACAGGCTGCCTGGAAAAATTGTTAGGTCCCATACCCGATGCTGCATTTGTATGCCCCGACTCCCCGCTTGAGGTTAGAAATAAGCTTCCGTGAAGAGGGAAACAGGACACATGCAGCAACAAGGTTCTGAGACCACCTGAAAGGACCTTTGTTAACATCTAATTTCCTTTTTTTTAACATATCAAGAAAGTTTTCTTTTTTCTTAGTTCTGGGTTCATGTTGGGCAGAATACCATCATTCATTTTCTTTAGTGGTAAACAGTGTCGCTGGCACAGACCTGCACTGAAATTTGAATGCAGAATAAACTCAGAAAAAAAGATAACTGAGGAAACATGTCTCCTCTTACGACCAGGCAATTTAACCCGTTGCCGGTGGACAAGGCTGGCTTGTTCATGGACAGAGAAAGTAAGGGAAGTTGGTTAGAGATGTGGATCCTACATTTTGGAACATCAATCAATAGCAGTCATCTTTTATCCTGCACTTATCTAAATATTTATTCTTTATTTCTTATCTTTGAATGATTACCTCTGAAATCATCTTGAGAACTGGAATATATGCAAGCAACTCAAACCACAGGTTCACATGAGAAAGAATGATGTTAACATATGAGTGTGAAACACTCCTTGGCTAAAAGATACTCAATTTTTTCCACACAGCTAACCAAATTATAGAAAGGAAGTGCTCACCTGGAGTCTTGAAGTTCCTCAGCTGAGAGGGAGTGTCATAGACTTCAAGGATCCAGTCACCGGCGGCTAGCTCTCCCCAGCAATGGATGGTCATGAACTCCCAGTTTTTGAATCCTTCCATGGAGTGATCAAAAAGCCTGAGAGAGAACCATAAAAACATCATCTTATCTGCTATTTAAAACCCAGTGAGTGTCAAGACCACGATCAATAATCTTTTCAAATCTATCCGCATGTCCAGTTCAACACTGGAGGATGTACTCATCCGGGACATCACTGATTAGTAGATCCAAACTTGTATCACTCATTGTTCTCCTACAGGGAACCAGGCTTGGGGCAGGCCATGCACTAGCAAATCTAGAAGGCACAAGCATTGGGGAATCAGGGAAACTAGGTTAAGACTTCACCCATGAGACAGATTGTCCCACACGTTGAAGATGTGGTGCACCTGGAACTCCATACACTGCTCACGGGAATGCAGAATGGTACCGCCGCTCTAAAAACAGCCTGAGGGTTCTCACCACACAACTCAACAATCCCCCTTCTAGATATTTATCCAAGAGACGTGAAGAGATGTGTCCATGCGAAGGACACCACATGAATGTTCAGAGCAGCTCTATTCATGACGGTCAAAACTGTTTAACAACTCAAATGTCCTTTAGTGGGTGAATGGGTACATTATGGTACATGCATATTGAAATACCACCCTGTAATGAACTTGTAATACCATGAATGAATTTCAAAAGCACTAGGGGAGTGAAGGAAGTCAGACACAAAAAACTACAATCTAGAAAAGGTAAGAGAAACAGAAACAGATCAGTGGTTGTCAGGAACTGGGAAGGCTGTGGTGGAAGTTTTAGGGGTGATGGGACTATTTCATATCTTGAAAATAATGGTGTATAGTTACACAACCATACAGATATGTTAAAACTTAGTGAACTGGTTGCATTAAAAAGAAGGGGAAGGGACTAGTCAAGGAACATGTATGAATGACCCACAGACATGGACAACAGGATGGGGACTGACTGTGGGAGTGGGGGGTGGGTTGGGCAGAGGGGGGAAAAGGGGAAAAAATTGGGGCAACTATAACGGAACAATAAAATATTTTTAAACACTGAATTGTATCATATGCAAATTACACCTCAGTATAAAGACTGACCACTGATCATGTCCAGTTCAGGGAGTCATGCCTCAAACTCTTCTGGCCCTTTCAATGATTTTTCTACATTTTTAATTCCCTACATGAAATCTCCACCTACCTAAAATAGCTAGAATTATTTCTGTTTCCTGTGATATAAATTCCCTGGATACAAAATATGAGGAAAATAAGGAAATGGAATCCCATCAAGATTAGATATATCAATAATGGATAAAACCAGCACTTGAAGAAACCAGCCTATTATTTATGTAGGCATATAACATACATCTGACCACCTGAAGATACAGCCAAACAACTCCTGGAGAGATGGGACGAGCTGGAAACTAAAAGGGCAAAGTGGCAGATTTTTAAAAGAACTTTTCTTTTTAAAATTATGTGCATTGGTTATTTTTATCAAAAAATAATGAAATAAGAAAAATAATTTAAGAGCCAGAGAGGCAAACAGAGAGGGACGAATATGTCTAGTGTTATTTTAGGAGCGACCACGTGCAGCCACTGGGATGAATCGGTCCTTCGGTGGGAACAGATGCAGAGGTCGTGGCCAGTGGATGTTGACGGCATTTTCACGTTCACTGCACAAACTGGTGTTTATAATTTAACCTTCTGTGTAGATCTCCCCATTGGGGTAAAATGTGCCCTTGTACACACACAAAATACCTAATTTAATGTCCTTATAACTTGATGTATTGGAGTTCTGATTTTTGAAAACATGTACTGTCAGTGTGCTTGAGGCTGCCAGTACAATGCTGGCTGGATCCTAAAGCGGAAAGGCCGGGTGACACAGCTATGGCAGGGGTAGGGAAGTCACCAGCACTCAGCCGTGTTCCCAGAGGAAAACAATGAACAGGAGTATCACTGGCTACATGTTCCTGAGACCTTGAAAGAAGAAACATAAAAATAATTTAGCAACATTCTCAAAATGTCCCATGTCAGAAAATTTGGGAAAGGCTGGGTTAAAGTTGAACAGATCTCCTTACTGGAGAACATCTTAGATCTTTGAGAAATTCAAGTATGTTGTGGTAATCTCCGTAATGGGTTAATGATCGGCAGTGATGTTCAAACCTCACGTGGCCACAAAGCCCTTTTTCTATTTAAAGAATAACTGTGTGTTAGCTGTAAAGTTTAGCTCTGAACAGAGGGGTGTGGGATTTCAATGAGGACTTCACTGGATCTGGCAGCTTTCCCTCTTGATAACAGGGATGGAATTAGTGGCTCTTATATGACTGTTTCCACACCCACATGCAATTAATCTTCAATAGAGTAAGCGGGGTACATTTTATGGAGACCCTACAATTCCTGCACTTGTATAACAGAGCTCATTTCACAAGTTCATGGCTCGAAACTGGACTTGGCCAGGAAGAAATTGCTGTGTCATTATGTAATTGACTTACATACACAGAGTTCTTCATGTTAAACCCAAAAAGGATGTATGTTGGGTAAAAGGGAAACACGGAGGTGGGGGAAGAGGAAATTTTTCACATTGCCCTTCCTGCCAGAGACATGTGACTGAAAGAAACGTTGACACAGAAATGGATGGAGGCAGAAAACCATTCTAGAACCACTTCTGAGCCCGCGAGTCCAATTTAGGCTCTAATTCGTGGAGGCCACTGTGCCATTTGAGGGCACTGAAGCAGTAACTTGTCACATAATACCTTTCTAAGAGTGCTGAGCTTAAAAGCAATTCCCAAACAGTTTAGACAGAACATTTGGCTCCTTGCCTCGTGTCCAAAAACTACAAAGGAGACTTGAGTCTGCCATCACTTGAGGGCCAGTCTTGTTTCCACGACCCCGGCCAACTTTTAATTACCCATGGGTCAATTATTTGACTGCTGGATTAGCAGTCCCTATGTTTCTTCCCTTCCACCCTTTCCTGTCCACTTTTCAAAATCAGTCCACTGCTACCGATCACTTTTAAATCACACTGGAAACAAACATTAAATAGAAACTGGGTGCCAAGAAGAAATACTCATAAATCAGCATTCAGACAAGTGTTTCAAAGCTTGAATATAAACGGGCTTTGTCTATCTGGATAACCAGTTACCCCTGGTCTCTTCACTGTATGCAGAGCTGAAGGATCATTACTTCCATGGGAACGCACAAGTGGAGGAGAGGAATTAAAATGCAGCCAAGCTCAATCATTACATTTTGCTAAAAGAGTTGAGGCGGAGAGAAACAGATGCTGATTGTTGTTTCAACTAGCTGGGCATTCAGATTTCTAATTTTACCCTGTCTTTTATTTTAATTCTGATTCACCACAAGCTATTCCTTATTTTTAGCACTGTACTGTTTAAAAACACTGCGTCGCCTGCACATAACAAAAAGCAACATCGCCGGAAGATTAGATTTGTGTTGCAAAGAACATGCTTGCTCAAGACAATCCAGTGTCACACTGGACACCTGCTAAGGAGATTCTAATTGTGTGGTCTCCGTATAGCAACTACCAAGTCCAACGCTCAGTTGGAACATTTCTGCCAACAGCGGAGAAACCAGACACACGCCAGTGTTATCGGTGTGGATAAAATGCCAGTAAAGCAGGGCCAGATGAACTCCATGCCCTTATCCACATCTCCCTTTGCAGGGAAACCTTGCTCTGTCAAAGCTGACTTCACAACCATGTGCTCAGTGAAATGCTACATGCATGCGGTGGCAGAAATTATGCACCCAATTATTAAAATGGTGCCCCACAACCTTATCCCTGTGAGCAATTTTCAAATAAATTACTTTGGATGAGGCCTGGTAGTACATCTTTTTGAGGAAGTAACTCAGGAAATAAATCATATACTAGTAATTACTATAAGCTTTTTGGTCCCCTTTCTTAAGAGCCTTAAGGAACTTAAAAAGTCTGGTCAATCTGTCAAGGCTACAACATTTTTCTGTGATGTTATGGCAATTATTTAATAAGACACAAATACTGACAGTTATATGTGTTACCGAGTTATTTCTAAATTTGCAAATAAATCTTAATTTCAGAATTATCTACTGCTAAGCAAACAGTATTGATGTTCACTATAGAATTAGACATGAGACAAATGTTTTCAGAAGTTTTCTCTGTTTTTCAATTTTTAAGTGCTTCATCACAATTTAAGGTGGAGCTTATATAATGCTTAAAGCACTCACTTGGCTCAAATGTATTTTAGTTTTTGATTTCCTTTAGATATTGGCTTTTGTAAGTTTGAAATAACTTGCTTCCTGAAATAGGGTATTGAAAAAGCAGCATTAGGTTTTTCTCTCTCCCAGTCTGAATCACTTCTTTAAGAAAGGTTGACAAAAAGGGCCTGGTTCTAGAGGTTTTAAATACCTAAAAAGATAAGTTTTTTAAAAAAACTTACAACATGCATACTATTACTAACTTCCTCACCAATCCCAAAATGCATTTCTTCTTGTGGGTATATGATGTAAGTACTTAATGTTCTTGAAGATTTATTCTATTTTATAGCTGATGGCTTTTATCTAAGTATCTGCTTTGTATTTTAAACTCCTTTTAAAATTACTTGCACAGCATCCAGCACATACTACTCACAAGTCTTTTGATGACACGAAAATAACAAGAATATGTATGAAAAAGCTGGACAATTTTTTAAATCAATGCTATTTAAAGTATGGTGTGTGGACAAGCAGCTTCAGCATCACCTGGAAACTTATTAGGAATGCAAATTCATGGACCTCACCCAGACCTACAGAATTGGAATCTCTGGGAGAGGGGCCCAGCCATCTGTGTGTGATTGAGTCATTCACCAGGTGCTTGAGAAGCACAGCGTAAATAAAGGTTAGCACTTATTAAGTACTTAATATGCCAGGGGCTGTGCTGAGGACTTGCTTTATGTTATCTTACTTAATACTTGTAACAACCCTATGAGGCAGATACCATTAGGTCTGCTTTCCAGATGAGAGAATCACTCTTCTAAAGGTAAATTTAAAAATCAGTGAAGCCAAGACAAACCCAGCTCTGTCTAACTCCAAGGCCAGACCTTCTTTTGAGTGAAGGTAGAGGGTCCTCATGGGGAGGCCTCATTGGAATGAAAAGCTGTCACTGCAAAAGTATAATTTGTACTGCAAGTCACAAATGCATTTATGTAGCATGACACTTTACAAATGTCAAAAGTCTGTTGTTGAACATTTGGGAAGGGCAGTGACAAAAATGATTCAAATATAAATACCACACTTAACCATAGTTATAGAATTCTACAGGTTTTGCAGTTTAGAAAGTGGACCTCCTCTGTACTTAAGATCATAATTAGAAGCAGAGATATTCAGCTGTAATCAAATTTAGAAAGGGAGGCGAAGTTTCAGCTTACAGTCAGAGGCCAAAATTTGGAACAGAGGGCCAGTATAGTGAAACTCAACCTACAACTCAATGAGCTGGGGGAAGGGGAGATTTAGGGGGGAAAAGATGACAACAGCTTCTCATAATTCTACAACACGTGCCATTGGGGGGAGAATCTGGTGAGATCAACTTTTGTTTGAAAATTTTTGCACAGGCAGATTTTGAATGTCACAGAATGAAAGCTTATCTAAAGTTGCTCTTGTCTAAGAACATCCTGAAGGGACTTAAGCCCACCTAGCTTCCCCCCAGACGCTGGAGCTCCATATTCTCTCCTGAAGTAAATAGTTTGTGCTGACGATTCAGCTTGGCTTTTTGTGAGGCAGGGTGCACAGGCCAAGAGGAGGGCCGAGAGGGTGGGAGGGAAGGGGAACACAAAGGGAGGAGCACAACTAAGCATGTGTCTATTCAGCGACCACTCTGTTTACACAGGGCTCCCACCCACCCAGTAAATGATTGACCTGTCTTGCCAGGGGTGCTTGCCTGCTGGGCAAATGGGGCACTAAGCTCAAGCTGGACTAGCTCTGAGTGCTGCTGAGTGCCTTCCAGGGCTGAGCACCTGCAGACACTTGGGTAAACTGTTCTTCCCCCAACAGCTGTTCTCTACAGGAGGTCCAGCAAGTGCTGGGCTGCCTGGACAGGGAGGCACTGAGGGGCTCCAGACGGCCCACACAGGCTTAGTGTTCAGTGACTGTGGAAAATCGATTCCCAAGGAACTGCTGTGTTGAGAGGAAACACAGTACTGAAGATATTCCCCACAGAAATGTATGGGAAAATGACAACTTCTCAAAAGCTGACAGTGATGGCCCTTTTGTATTTTCTTTTGGGAGTTTATCCTTATGGATAATACTTCCAGGACCTAAGACGATGACACCTATTTTGTCAATACCAAGGAGAATAGTCACAGGTGATAAGGGAGGGGCAGGTCTCCCCTCTCTGGTTTGCCCTCCTTGCCCACAGAATCTGTATTTGCATCATCAAGGGGGATGGGAGCTGGCTTTCAGCATCTTTCCTTGTCACAGCAGCTGACAGAGTCCGTGGTGGAGAGTCACACCCCACAGAGATTTATAGGAGGGACCAAATGGGGGCAACTCTACCACCACAGCTTACCCCTGCATCTCAAATCACCTCCACTAGCGAAACTTTGTTTTAAACCTTTCAGAATTCTTATCTTTTTAAAAAAATCCTCACCAGAGGATGTTTTTATTGACTTTAGAGAGAGAGGGAGGCATCAATGTAAGAGGGAAACATCAGCTGGCCACCTCCCATACATGCCCCAACCAGAGCTGGAACCCGCAACCTAGGCGTGTGTCCTGAACGAGGATCCAACCTGCAACCTTTTGATTGACAGGACAATGCTCCAACTGGGCCAGGGCAGAATTCCTATCTTTTAACTGCACAAAGTTCGTTGCTTTATGTAGTCTTCAGAAACCTTGACTTCTTTGAAGGAAAGATAAGTGTCCAACGGGGAAACTATTTATTACTCTCTTTAATAATCCCTGATACACCAGTTCCTTCCAAAACCTGACCTAAATGTCTTTTCCTTGAGATTTCTGCCATGCAGACCAACATGGGGGATGCTGGGAGCAACGTGGGCCTTCCCTCACTTCCTCCCCACCTTTCTGCTATGCTTCTTGCCCTCAGCTCCCAGTCCTGAAAATGTGTTTTGAAACAGGGCCAAAGTGACAGGACAAGAGGATTCCTTGCCATTAGGTCTGAGACTGAGAGGTTTTGAGTAGAGATTTCCTCTCATAAAATTAAAGCTTCAGAATATGCCAGAAGGAGGAAATGCCAAAAGAAACCGTCTCTCCCTAGCTGCCTCCGTAGGAGGGATGCTACTAGTGTCAAGCACAGCAAGGACAGGGGAGCCAGGCCCTGGAACGTGGCCATGTGTGGATTTGGGACCCGGTGCAGCTGTTTCACATTTATGGAGTCAGCTGCTCAGAGCAATGTTTTGGGGAGTTGTAGACAAATGAACTCATAACATCCTCTATATCTCTCTGTACCTTCAGCCTCCTTCCTCCACCCTAGTCTGCCTCTTTTTGGTGGCTACTTCTCTTCCTAAGATGGAAGATACACAAAAGAACAGCAGTTTAAGAAATGCTCCAGACCCAGAAGAGGCATTCTGGGTGCAAACCTGATTCCCAAGTGCTCTTGATGGGGTAAACCTCATGACCGCTAGTTGCTGAGCATCTGAAATGCCTGTTTCTTTTTCTCTGACACAAGTCATGCAGCACTTTGGGGTTCAGCACTTTGCAAAGACCAAGGCAGATGTCCTCGGGTCAGGAATGCATGTGCAACCATGCCAGTGACCTCGTCATCCACCAAACGCCTGTGACGGACGGACAAGTTTCCTCACTGAAGTCATTTTGGGGGAAGCCAACGAAAAATGCCAAAATATGCAGGAAGAGCCCAGAAAAGCTGAGGAGGCTGTTATCCAAGCAAACAGCAACTGCAAAGGATTATTTATCTACAACGGAGGGGTTTGAGGCATGAGCTGCACATGTGTGAAGCAAACCTTTGCACTTCACCATCCATATTTCGCCTGGTTACTCTTTCAAGTTTGACACAGACGTATAATGGTAAATAAAGAAAAAAAAGCAACAGAAAAAAAGGTCTTCTCTGGCTTCAGTAGCAACAGTTAGTTGACCTCCATTATTCATGTAATTGTGCATCTGAAGCCCACGCTTGCTGAAAGGAAGGATCAGGCAGGTACTTGCAATTACCTGGCAGGCAACAGCTGAGACCCCTGCTTGCAGAGGGAGGAGGGCATGCTCAGCTACCTGAGGCCAAAGCATCCTTCTGTTCTTTGCACCTGCACACACTTATTCTGGCTAAGCTGCACCTCATAAAGCACTACTCCCAAGTTTCCCCATGCCTGAACAGAAACAGTTAGGTTTTAAAGAACACAGCAAGTCTTCTAAGCACAGAAATGAAATGCACTTGAAGCTTTTAGAAACTGCTAGCCACCTAGAAGTGTTCTTTATTGTTCCCCCTTTTTCTCACCGTCCTACAGCAGATGGAGTTTGGGGATTGTGAAGGGCAACTGGCTACTGCTCAGCCTCACTTTCAGTTCTGCAGGCTTGCATTGGCCTCGAAGCTCTTCTGGCCTGTTGTTCGTGTCCTAACAAAGGTCACCGCTGCCATGGTCACCTGGCACATGGACAGGTGGCTATGTCTACATAAAAGGTTGGCTTTCATTGGGACTCTTAAGTGTCATTGATGGTGAGGTTTTTGCTCCCATTAAATGTTCCCCTTGGAGAAAAATATCAAATTAAAAGAATCTTAGGCTTCCTTCTGGTTGTGGTTTGTATGTTAGGGTCATAATGGGAATGAGGTGAACAGGACAAGCTGACATTTTCCCATCTGGTCCCACTTCTTGACAAGCACACCCTGCCCATGCTCCCAACCAAAAAGCCAGGGGGGCAAAAAGCCAGTGCTAGAACATTCTGGTCTTTCATCAGGATCCTGGCAATGCCTACTGGAGAAATGTGTGGAGGGTGGGGTGAGAAGGGAAGAGTCTAAGAAGAGAAACTACACTGAGTGTCCTCTTGGGCAATAAAGACTAAAGGGCCAATGTTTAAAATAGGGGTCAGCAAACGACATAGTCTGTCCTCAAGCCAAATCTGACCCTCTGCTTATTCTATAAATAAAGGTTTACTGGAACACAGCCATGCCCATTCATTTATATTGTCTGCACTGTAATGGCAAAGTTGAACAGTTGTAACAGAAACATGGCCAGTGAAGCTCAAAACATTTACTAATTGACTGTTTGCAGAAAAAAAAAAGCCAATGCCCATTTTTAAAACAAATAAGAGTTTCCTTGAACTTCAGAAAGTGCTCAGGCAAGAGAATTCAGTTAATCTGTACCAAGTGCCAGCAGACATTTAAAGTACAGGAGACAGAATCTCAGAGACCTAAGGAAGTAGTGCTCTACATTTCATTTTTAGGATAAGGAACAACAGATGGCCTTTGATTTTTCTGCAGCATCCTTTTAATATCACCTAACTATTATGTTATACTATTCTTTGCAGCTTCACACTCTCTGTTTATGTGTGGGCGGTGAGTGCTATGACCATTCTACCATGACACCTATGTGCCCCTTAGTTCTTAGGATGCTAAGTAAGGAGCTGCTGGCCCTTTCTTCCCTAAAGAAGAACTGAGTGTCAGGGTGACCCCTACGCGCTGGTGGGCAGAGGCCTTTACTGTACCTGTTGGCCAAGAGCTGGGACCTGGTTCCTGAGGGTGAGGTCAGGTAGATGGCCAGGTCACCCCTCCTGGGATGGGTGATGGTTATGCGCACGACTACATGTTCCAGGTAGTTGACATGGTGGTTGGGGTTATCGGAGCAGCCGGAAGCTTTGTAGATGGAGCGCACTGCACTGTTGGGGCGAATTGTCCTGCAACAGAGAGTGGGGGAGTTTGAGCAAGGTGCGTATAGCTCAGCTGAGAGACCCTGCAGGCCTAGAATGACATCACATGAGCTAAATGCAAGCAGCTGGTTGCTGGATACTAAAACACACGGTGCTATCACCCAATGACTGGTTCATTTAAAGGATTCACACTGGTTAGGTAGTGGGAAAGGTGTAAGTGAGAGGAAAGGGGGAAGTAATGGTCTTTTATTTTCACCCAGGAAGTGGGTATCTAACTTGAGAATCTCACATTGCTAAAACACAGATTGCTGGGCCTGATTCAGCAAGGGTAGGGTAGATAATTAGCATTTCTAACAAGTTCCCAGGTGACAGTGATGTTGCTGACCTATGGAATACACTTTGAGGGCCCCTGATACAGTGGTACAGTGAACTTGGGGGTTAGTATGGCCTTGGGGTTGGACCCTGGTGTACCATTTCCTTGCTCTGTAACTCTGGGCACACACCCTCACCCACAGATGCCTGTTTTCTTCACTTGCTTCCTCCTGTGTGGCTGTCCCCTGAACTCCGGGCTGCAGCCACGCTGGTGTCAGTTCAAGTTTTGGCATAAATCAGTTTTTCCACCTCAGGGCTTTAAAGCACTATGCCTCAAGCACTTTAATTTTTATTTATTTAGTTATTTGTATTTTTTTGCTGCTGACTCTTCATGGTAAAAAGTTAAATTTCACTCTCTGAGGCTGCCACTGAACTACAGGAAAAGATATGCTTCCACCTCTTATTTTCTGCCCTTTGTATTTCCAACACTACCTTACTGTAATTTGTAATTATTTACTTATATTTTTTGGCTTAACTGCCCCTAGACTGTAAGCTCCACAAGGGCAGGAAGAATTTCTTACTCCCCTTCTATCCTCAATATCTACCTCAGTGCTTGATATTCATTAAGTGCAAGAAAAATAGTTGCCGAACTGATAAATAAATTGTGAATGAATAAATATTCCCACTGATCTCATTTCCTCATTTGTCAAGTGGGAATATACCCAAATTTTTACAAAATTTTAATAAGAAAACACACATGAAGTTTCTAGGACTCGGCTTGGCCCTTAATCAGTGTTCCATAAATACTGGTTATTTTTTCACTCCTTTATCTTTTCCTGTTATTCTTTGCCACAAAAGCACAGAATACAAAAAAAAAAATTTTAATTCATTATTTCTGCTTCACAATTTTTCAAGAATTATAATGGCTCTAGTTTCATCACAACCAAAGTGTGTAAATATTTTTTCTGAGAGTCAACTCTCTAAAAAGAAAGCCAAAAGCAAAATACTAATAAAATCACAAAGATGAGTCCTATTCTTTGGATTTAGCACATTTCTCACTATCCCTTGGTCAACTTGTCAGCACGGCCTCCAAGTCTGTGCAGCTGAAACACGGGAATGGGCCCCGAAATCCCTACATAAACTGCAATCTCATTACTGTGCATTTTCCACCACTCTGAAGAACTACATGATATGTAGTTAAGTTTCCAGACATATGGTTTAGCTTTTTTTGGAGCATACTCACTTATGGAGAATATTTGTATCATCAATAGATATATTGACAGAGTAGAAACCTTAAGCATGCCCATCAAGGGTTCCCCCAAATCCCCTTTTGAGAGATGTTTTTCTTTTAAGGACCCCTGGGTCTTATTAGTGTGGATTTAATAGCTCAGCATCCCAGACATTCTATTAGAATTTTATAACTACATTAGAGTTATGGCTTCCACGTATAACACAGAGCTACCCTGAGCACTTGTGCTGCCTGTTCTGTTTCAAGGCACTGACATGCTATCTGTGTGCAGCAAACATTACTTGATTTGTCGGTCTGTGCTCTCCACACACACGTGCTGCTGAGGAACAGTGGTCCACTTCTCCGCCTCCATCACCATGGCTTCTGCATCCATCAGTCCAAATCCATAGAGATGGCTCACTACAAAAGGCAAGAGGCTGGTCAGCTTTGCTGTGGTTATGAGCAACCTAAGATACATGTATTGAGTTATAATTTCATTTAGCAGAGAACACAGGCACATCCCTAAGGGATCCTAGCTTTCTTTAGAGCAATGATTTTAAAACAAATGAAACAAGTAAACAATCACAACAAGAAAGTAAGATGAATATATCACTCATTGATTATCATTACTAGTAACACAACTATCATTTATGAATTGTTACTACATGGCAGACACTAGTGCATATTTTTACATTTAATCTTCCCAACAACCTTAAGATGTTAGTGTTATTATTGTCATCACCCACGGATGAGAAAACTGAGGGTCAGAGAGAAACTTGGCTGGGATTGCCCAGCAGTTCAGTGTTTGGGCTGGAGTCTCACCCACAGTTTGCTCAAAGGCCTCACTGTCAACCACTTGTATTCAAGTGATGACATCATCAATTTTGTAAGATAAAATAATAGGTTTAAAGAGAAGTGACAATGCATATGACTTCTCCTAGTGCAATAAAAACTTACATGCAAGAAATACCAATTTTCTGACATGCCTAGTATTTAGGTTGAATATGCCAGAAAACACAAATTATTACCTTTCCTCTAGCATATGAAAAATTTATTAAACTTTATACATGAAATATTTGGAGACTTCTAGACTTTTATGCTAGCTTCTTATCCTCACACGTAATCTTTTAGTCCTCAATGAGAATACCTATTGATCTAAAGATGGATTTGACATAATTGTCTCCGAAACTTCAATTACCTATAGGAATATTTTAATGATGATACAGCAAGATTAATGTGTACAGTTCTTTCTGGAAATACATTATACTCTCAGCTGAATACTTCAAATATTCCCCTTGTATTAAACTGTCTCATGTCTTTATGTTTGACACAAAGTCATACTTCTACCAGATCTGTTGCTTAAAACATTTTCCTTATGACATTACTTTATGAAAACATTTCTATAGCTGCCCAGGCTTATGGATTATTTAAGTACTCCAGCTTGATGTTCTATGATATATCACCACTCCACTTTCAAAACAAATTCCTCACCAGAGCTTTTGCTTTGGAAAAAGCATTTCTTTTCTAAAGACATGACGCTCCTGGTCATATCATGCTCTTTCTGTTTCCCTGCCTTTGCTCATCATGTGTGGCCCTTGGCCCGGAATTCCATCACTACTCCTAGGTGAAGAGTCAGACTCTACTCTTACAAGTTCCTGAAGCCCAGACTAGTCTATCTTCTCTTTCTTGAAATATTCTCTGGCCTATGAAAATCAACAGATAGTTAACTGAATTTAATCATCTGTTCTCCTTTATAGTGTTGTATTGCTAATTAATTTATCAATCCATCTGCCCTCCTGCCCATCCATCCACACAACAGTCCATCCATCCATCCATCCATCCACCCACCCACCCAACCATCCACCCATCATTTCTTGAGTGCCTTCTATGTGCCAGCACTGTATTATGCACTGAACTTTTTACTTGTGCCACCAACTGAATTAATAATTAACTCTCTCAGCATACGTATTTTTACCCCAACTGCATTATAAATTGCTGACGGCAGGAACTGGGTCTTATATTTCTTTATATGTTTCATGGGATTGAGCAAACCATTATATGTACAAAAGGAAAAAGATATTATAGTATATAAAAAAAGAAAATTATCCCAGGATTCAGAAATACTGCTCTATTTCTGCTATTTGCTAATTATATAACCTTGGCCAACAAGATAAAATATCTAAACCACAATTTCCTCATTTCGTGGTATTATTATCTATCCCATTACCATTACTAAATTAAGTATATGTCCCACATGAGAAAATCTGTGTAAAGAACTATACAAATGGGAGAGCTCATTATTATAATATCAGGTTCAGCTAGTCAGAACATACTGAATAAAATTGCTATAGCAAAAATTTAAGTAGGATTTTAATACATGGACTTTTGCAACTTACATTTTGAATGATTTTTTTCTTGATTAAAAAGCACTCCATGTTCACCATAATGACTTGTAAATACATCCAGAGAAGAAGAAAATAAAACTCACTGATAACCTCATCACAAATTAGTAATTGCCATTATCAATTCTGTGAAAGCAATTTTGCCTCCTTAGTTAAATAGGAGACAAAGTGCCCATATTATTGTTTGGGCTTAAGGAAACCAATGGTCGAGGTCTTTTGTTAAAGTTCATGTAAATCCTGTGTTCTCACTAATGACTTAACCACAGCCTTCATCATCTCATCACAAATAGTCTAAGGTATTTTTTTTTCCCGTGGGGGCATTGAAATTGTTGCCAAAGAGGCTATGGCAGGCTCTCTTACTCGACATAGTCCACAAACACCCCCAGACTAGTGTTAAGTGGTTTCCAACCAGCAAGTCTTATCATTTAACTCAGTTTAGGGGGGAAAGATGACAGACTTGACAGGTGTATGAGTGGGTGGGGAAGAGGGTCCGTGGAGGCCTGGGGAGGACAAGGGCTTGGAAGGTCTGCAGAGCAGGCTGCCCGGGCTGCGGCTGGCTGCACTCTGTTCCCGCCACTGCACCAACTGGCAGCCTGACAACCATTAGGACATAAATTAACACACAGTCACCAAATACAACAAACACTTCATGCCTGTTAACCACTTGACTTAAGCAGAAAAGCACCTTGAGTCTTTATGAAGGCCATAAATTTGTTTCCTTTTCCAATTCAGCTCCTACCCAACAGAGACTGTACATCCACACAACACTCAAAGTAGGCGTTCAGAAAAGGGGCTCACTAATTTCATTTGACTACAGACTGGCAAATCAACAGAAAAAATGTATATTACTAAAATATTCAGAAATGAGAGAATTAGATTAGATCAACAAACACTTGAGTAAGCGATGGAGATTTTTAGTATTTTAAAATACTGGAAATTACATGTCTGTCCACAATCATGATGCAGAGCCTAAGAAAATGAAGTAATTTTTTTCCTTTTTTAGGGGGTGGTGGTAGTTGCTGGCAATATATCAACCCCATGTTTTCTGATTGACACTTAATTGGTTTTTGGTAAACAGTAATGAGAAAATCATTATACAATGAATGTGTTGGGCAGATAAACTCTTTCAAAAACATGGTGTCACCCTGACCAGTGTGCCTCAGTTGGTTGGGCGTTGTCCTGTAAAGAGAAAGGTCGCTGGTTCAATTCCCAGTCAGGGCATATGCCTGGGTTGCAGGTTCAGTCCCTGGTTGGGGCATGTACAAGAAGCAACCAATCAATGTTTCTTATATTGGTGTTTCTCTCCCACTCCTTCTCCCTCTTCCCCTCTCTCTAAAAATAAATAAATAAAATCTTAAAAAAAAACCCACCCCATGGTTTCAACAGGGGGAATAACTATTAGTTTGGGGGCACTAATAATTTTTTTGAAATATAATTACAATTGGCATACAATAATTTTTTTTATATAGCATAAAGTTTTCACTCTAAATGACCTACAAATTTAGAAACACGGATCTTTCTCTTGGTGGTCATTTGGGTTGTGTGTCAGGCCCCTCACACCCGTACCATGATGGGCCACGAGGAGTATGATCGCCCTCCAGTGGCCACAGAGCACCAAGTGAATGAACAGAACACAACTGATAGGAGAAATTTTATTTAACTCACCAAATGCCATAAAGTGTTTACAAGAGAATTATAAGGGGCAATGGAGGTATATTCTTTTTATTACTGACTCCTATAAAGTCACCTTTAACACTGAAAAAAATTTATTTCACTAGAGAGCCTATATTCACATTTTAGAAATTGATGATAATAGCAAATATACCATGCAAACAACTGATTGCAATGTGGCCATTCCACAATGAAAGTAGCTTTATTTATGCACATTTCTCAGGCTGAGCTCAGAGCAAAACCTGAGCCTGAACATCACTTTATGCTGATCACGTGGAGCCCTCCCCAGGCATACACTGAGTCAAGTACAAAATTCCGTGACGTTAGAATACTGCAGCGCTGGCATGGCAGGCGTCGAACCAATTCAAACAGAATTTTTCATTCCTAAGTGTGTTGGCAGCAAACATGGAAGTTGTAGTTTTAACATTAGGTAAGATTCAAAAATCAATATTCGGAGAGATATTGAGGGAAAAGGCTTGCAATATAGAGTAATTAACAATCTTAACACCACATTATTGAAGCATATTTCAGGGAGTAAAACTTATTTCTTGGTAGAATGATGTTGGGCAAACTTAATAAATGGAATCTGAAAAACTTGCATAACACTATTTGTTCTATTAGGCTGCATGACTGTTTATGCAGATAAACTATAAAAAAAACGTGGAATTATCTTACGTAAGAAGTATAGCTAGTTTTTGTTCAGAGGTATCTGAAGGTGTCTCTGCTTGGGCCAGTCAGAGGAGCAAGAAAAGGCAGGAAAGTAGAGATTGTTCACCAGGTGTATTTTCATTTTCTGATGAGATCGGAAGTGCTGAGAGGAGCTAATCATTAAGCAAACACACAAGCAAATGATGGCATAGTGGGAAAGCAGACACAGTTAATTTAAATAACAGTTCTAGCTAGGAGGACAAAAAACTCAATTCTAAAGAAAATCTAGAAAGCTCAGCAGAAAAAGAAATTAAAACTTTCTGAGTACAGGAAGCAATAACCAGGGAAATCTGGTATATTTTCATCTCTTTTAGTGGGCTCACTGGAACCAGCTACTTTAAGTCTTTTTTTCTCTTTAAATATTAGACTGAATGGACATTTCATAATGACTCTAAAATGACTGTTAGTAAAGCACTGTATATATAATAAAGGAATTGGCTTAAAAAGGATTTTAAAAAAGTGTTTGAGTTTCCCAAAGCCTTTGTGCTACCAGCTGTCAGATGCACGAAGTGTTATGCAGTACCCAGTGTAAAACAGGGTGAGGAGGCAACAAAAACTCTGCTCAAGGAGCCTATGAGAAATATAAAATTTTACCTGTAGCTGAAAAATGCAATTAAGTGACAGCCATCCATGACTGAG